GTAATCAGTGCTCCAGACAACAGATGGGGAATGAGGAGGTGTGTCTGGTCTGAAGTCAAGGGGGGTGGGGAAATAGAAAGCCTAGTTCTCAAATCCATCAGGTTTCCTCTAAAACAAATCCATCACATCGCAACTAGAATGCCCCAGTCTGTATTCAATGAGTTGCAGAGTATCACCAAACCTCAGGACTTTTTTAGTATGTGCCATTCTATACTTTCAGCAAGGAAGGAGGAAGTAAGAAAATCAGTGAGCCAGAAACAGGTATGCTGTATTTGGTGGAAATCAGACTTATATACTGTGAAAAAGATGGAAAATCAAACAGCAGCGGTAACTCTGAACAAGGATGGGGATCAGTATTATCAGCTAAAAAACAGTGGCCTGGGACTAAGGGGTCAACAAGATCAATTATTCTTTGCTAAAGGTCTGCCTCAATTCAGCCTGCCTTATGTGCACAGACCTTGAGGGTTAAACGGCATGTGTTACACCCCACCGAGTTCAGTGCCCAATCAGATGTTGGTGCAAACAGAGATGGAACCAACAGGAACTAGCTGATTAACCAAGATTTCCAAAATGAGATCTTTTTTGGTTACGTTTGTAAGAGAAAGCTAACTGGACTCAAGAAAGATAAAGAGCCACTGAGTTCAGACTGCTAGTCTGTACAGACACAATTAGTCAAACTGTCTAGCATTTTAACTCTTCTGCTGAGAAACTGTGAATTTTTGAGATTTTAATAGCTATGAGAATCTCTTCCTGCTAAGCCTGTATTCCCACTGTGGTAGCTCAGTTCTAAACCTATCTCTGCCACTAACATGTTAGGTGATTTTTTTTGGCAAACAACTCAGTATATTCATTACCTATCACCTTTATCTGCTAAAATCATATGCAAAAGGGGACTCGCCCTGCTTGAAGAAATGCTCACTGGTATAATTAGTAGACACGACTGATATTTAGCAAGGGGGTTAATAATGGTGTACTAACCTTGGTACTTGCTGATCTTGAGAACCCACAGATATCTCCGATTTGAGCTCACATGTTAGATGGTACTACTTCATTATTGAGGAGTCTTCAAACAGCTCATAGAAAATATGTATTATTTTGAAAACTATGCATGGATTTCAATTTTTTTTTTTGCAGTAAAATAAACTCGCACTTCAGTTCCATTTCTCTACAAACTTTTTGAAGTCCCTCATATAAACCTACAACAGTCTATAGTCCCAAGGCCTTTGAGAAATTAGACAAGAACAAAAAGAAACCCGATGACAGAAATATTAATTAGGAACAGAACTCAGACATATGTACTGCCCTTCCTGATGCTAATAAAGTTGGCAATCACCCAAAGGCAGTGGGGCTATGACCAGAGTCTATGTAGCATGGCCTTGAAAATGAATATTTTGCAAACAGAAATGGGAGATGGGGAGACTAACCGATTTCCTTCAACTCCTCTACTTCCTGGACAAAACCAATATTAGTCTTGTTACAAACTTCCACTGACTTGCTGAGAAAGAAGGCCTTTCTACAAAGCCAAAACTGAGTCATCCTGTTGAGAGATACACATCAGAAATGTTAGACTATCTCTTTCTCTTCAGCAAACATCTTTTCCTTGTCAGGACCTCTAAACTCCACAGAATCTATTACTATAATATAGCCTATGTGGCTAATTCACTTGCCAAAGCATTTTGTTGTACATTGTATCTTCCCTTTGGAATATAGAGAGGCACGGGAAATATTTTAACCTTTCTCCAGGCCTAAGCAAATGTATCACAACCCTAAAAACCATGATGCAGATGAAAGTGCCTTGTAAATAGGAACGTGCTATTAAGTAGGTTTTTTTTTTTCCTTTTTCTAAGGTTTATCCATTTACTTCCTTCATGAGTGAAAGAGACAGAAAGAGACAGAGACAGCACTCCAAACAGGGCCTCGAAGATGCTAGCCACTCCCAAGTCCAGTCAGTCCCAGATCATGGGCACATATATGGCATACTCAAGGTCTCCAGGCATGAACTTGGCAGAACCCTCCCAGGTGGGTCAGCCCTTTAAACCATCATCTTTTACTGCTGTGCCACTGTACAACCCCCAAGTATATTATTAACCATATATACTACTATTAGTCACTGTTGCATCCAAGTAAGAAAATGGTTTCCAAACATCTGCTGTTAATTTTTTCTTCTTCTTTTTTTATTATTTTTTTAGGACTCATTAGCTTTAAAAATCCATACATTCCTTTTCAGGAAGAGCCATATGGAAGGCATGGAAATTTGGATTCATCAAAGGCTAAGTCCTCCCACTAGGCCAGAAGTTACAATTTAAATGACACAAAGATTACTTAGGAGTAAAGGGCAAAGGTGCCACTCAAGAATTCCTCAGCATGACTCTGTTCTCTGCCCCCACCCTATAGCTTCAGCGTTTCCATTAAGCACAGGGACCGAAGATAAAGCACGGGTGACAGAAATCTGTCCATAGTCCCCTCAGCACCCACTTCTCCCCAAAATGCCATCATCTCCTGCAAGAATCTCCTCAAGGATATCCTGGTCGAGTTTATTTTACTGGTGCTACATAGCAAGCAAAAGATGAGGACTGGTCACCTCACCTCCAGAGAAGAAACTAGCTTCCTTTTTGCCAACAAGAAGGTCAAAGGCATTTCAGAATATTCAATAGCTTTTGGTTGCATTCCCATCTACAGCTTGTGGAGAAAAGAACCATAGAACATAGACTGTCAAGAGCTGGGAGTGTAACTCTGGCTCATTTTACAGATGGACAAATTGAGGCCCAAGGAGAGTACCTTCCCCAAAGTCATACATAAAACTAATTAATACCAGAACCTGGGTCTTAAAAGCCTCTAAAGAAAAATCTTTCCTCTAAAAATCATGGTGCTGCCAGGTTTGTCATCATCATACCAGCAGCAACCCAAATCAGGCTGAATTTAGTCTGTTGTTGACCTTCTAGATATGTGGTTGCCAGAGGCCTCAAGACCCCTTTATAGAAGAGGCACCCTCTGACCCTCACCACCTGCCGTCCAAAAAAAGCACTCCTGTCCCAAGAGATTCCCACAGCAGTGGCTGAGATGCGTTGTTTCCTCTCATTAACAAAAAGCCCATTCATTAAAAAAAAAAAAAAAAAACAGAAAAAGGACTGGCTCAAATTTACACAGAAGGTCTAGCTGGGATAGCCCTAGACTTCCTGTGAATGGCATCGCTTCCCAAGAAATCCACATAAAAACGCTGCGCATTTCAGCCCTGTTCGATGCTTAGAGCCAATCAATAACCAACTCTTTTTCCAAAGTTATCCATACCTCCTTGCCACATCTCCTCCCTAAGAGAAGCTACTACATTTCACAGATTGGGAAACTGAGGCCAGCGACTTTCAATCAAATTACAAAGCTAGTAAGCCCCAAAGCCACGAGGAGACAGCAGTACCATGCTCGTCTGCCTCCACCTTCCCATGGGCCATCCCACCACCCTCTGCCACCCCTACTGTGGGGCTGACAGCTTATAACCCCAAAAAGGGTGGGTTTGCTTTCAACTCGGGTGTTAATGCATCTTTTAGCTGTAGGCAAATGACCTCACATCTCTGAGCCCTGCCAGGCCTGTAAAATGGAGATGCCCTCAAGACCCTGCCCCACACTGGGCTGGTACAAGTCTCCTGTGAATAACTTAAAACTGTAAAAACTATAAAGATGCTAATGACAGGTTCCAAAACTGCCCTGGAATAAAGCACACCAGGTTTTCCACAGCCTGATATCTAAAAAGGACGGATTGGTTTCCCTTCCTCCTTTTCTTCCTCATCCTCCACGATTTTATAGCTTTAGAACATCTCTGCGCACAGGCTGAGTACAGAAAGACACTTTTGATCTTGATCCACACCCAGATGATTTTTATGTATCTGGCAACTTTCCTTTTCTAGCCCATTTGTTTTCCTTAGAACAGCTAATGGGTAGAAGTCAGGAAGGTAAAGAAATCAGCTCTCTGGGCACCCCTGGACCATGACCAGAGGAGATAGAATGAAAGTGATAAGATAGAGGTCTAGAGAAAAAAAAAACACACACACAAAACAAATACCCTCTCACGGTAGGTAGAGATCACCAGCCCACAAGTTCGCCTGGGGCCTTTTTCAGAGTGCACTTAGTAGGCGTTTGGTGTGCTCTAACACTTCAGATTTGAAAGGCAGATCTCACCCTAAGAGCATAAGCTCCCAAATGAAAGAGTCATTAAGAGAAACCCATAAAAGTATTTCCCCAAAGTACCACAGTGGAGACAAGGAAACTAATGTAACCACCTCTAGGAAAG